ATATATATATATATACAGGTATATTCTTAGGTGTAGTAAAAAGAAATCCATTATTTTTCCATTCAATTTCATGCAAAAATAATGGATTTCTTTTACTACACCTAATATATGAATAGAAATAAATATGTTAAAAGACACGATCCTGATAGCCACTATCGGCCATACTGGAACTAGGTTTGGCTGGTCCTCCAGGTACTTGATGGTGCGGATGTCGCATATGACCAGGTCGTCTTGGTGGTGCCAAATATTCAAACATGCTCTGAGTATGCTGCGCCAGCATCTTACTGAGATCGCATGGCATTGGATCAGTCCAGAAAAAATCATGATTTAGCGCGGAGTCAGAGTCACATCTTTTGCTAGGATCGAGTATTAAAAGTTTATCCAATAAGTCACAGGCGTAAGGATCCTTCAGATACGGCTTCAGTCTGTCTTTGACCTATATATAAAATCATTAAGCAATTAACATCATTTATTCACTGACTCAAAATTTAAAATGCAATATAAAAATGTGTTACACGTCTGATTCAATGTACATGATTTAATTGATTGAACAGAATATCAATTTACATGAAATTTTTAAATCAAGTGTAGCTTGTAATCATATCATTAGTCACAATGCTTCCTTAAAATATTATGCAATGCAATTCTTTACCTTTCTTTTTTGCCCTTTGGGAAGATCCATTTTGGTAAATAGATCCAAATTTTCAACGCCAGGCCACACCTCAGTCGTTATTGAGCCACACAATTGTGAAATCAATATAAGCTGTTGTTGCTCGGTACTTCCCTGCATTATAGGAGACCTGGAGATTTGAAAGACAAAGTATATGATTACGCGAACAAAAATCACAAGCAAGAACATAATCATAGAAAAATGTAAACCTTGTCCACATTTCTGCCATTATACAGCCAGCGCCCCATAAATCCACTGGCGGTCCATAATTTCTATCACCAAGTAGAAGCTCTGGTGGTCGATACCAAAGAGTAACAACTCTATTGGTATAACGATTCGAATGACCATTTTTTGCACTGAATGCTCGTGCCAAACCAAAGTCAGCTAACTTTAATACGCCATTCTTTGTTATTAAAACATTAGCGGCTTTCATATCTCTATGTAAAATCTGTGAGAAATTAAGTGCTTTTTATGATACTGAATGTAATAATTATTATAACAATGTCAATAGCAACAATTAATGATATTGAATAACTTTATTCTATGACCATGATAAACAATATCATCGCAATTGTTGTTTTAATAAACTAATTTTTTAAACTATTAAATTTTTTAAAACATTACATTATGCATACTTATAATAAGAATATTAAAATATTTAAAGATAAATGTACGTATGCAAATTGAAATATAAAGTATGTAAAGATTGTTATATCTTGATGGAAAATAACCTTGAATCTTTTTATTACTTTCTATTAACAAATACTGATTGAACTTTTTTAGAAACTTTTTGAGATCTTTAAAGGGATGTAAAATGAATAAGTAAATCTTTTCTCACCTTATTACTATGTATATAGTAAAGACCATTTAGTAACTGTTGCATAACCTTTTTTATTTCGCCTAAACTAAATTTCACATTTACATTTGACAACAAACCAGCCAAGTCATGTTCGCAGAAATCAAATATCAGATAAAAAGTAGACCGATATCGATTATACTGAGTTGCTGAAAACATTGTGAAATTAATTAAATTAGATTATACAACGTCAAAATCAATTACTATTTAACGCTGTTTATAAAATCATTTTTTCGAATCATTAATCCGAATATTTTTTGAATATTTATAATTATAGCGTTTTTTATATATTTTTCTGAGAGGTATTTCTATCTAATGAAAGAGTAAACTCCTATGTGTACATTATTAATAATTGTACAATAACTTAGAAGGTAGCCCAGCAAACAAGAATGAATTGAAATGAATTGAAATGGATTCAATTTTCAAAAATATTGATTCACGAATGTTAAAATGAATGTTTTTTGCAATTCTGAAATCTTTTTATTAATTTTTAAAAATTGCATGGAGCATATCTCTTTTCAATCTAAAAATAATATTAGCTTTTTCTGTGCACACAAATAACACAATTGTGAATACAATTCAAAATTTTGAATAGGAAATGCAGTTTTTCAATCCAATTGTATCCAATTGAATTCAATTGAATCCAATTAAATAAAAAAAAAGTATTCTCTATTTAAAACACATTTGGATAGAAAAAAATTTCAATTTCCATTCTCATTTGCTAGGAGAATAGTACATATATACATATATAAAAATTTATATATTTACCTCGTGTCCTGCAAATCTCTATAAGGTTAACTACATTCTCATGTTTCAACAATTGTAATATCTTTATTTCACGTAATGCCGTAATGGGAAACTGTAACAAGATTTAATATATACATATAACAAGTTATAAATTTTTAAAAATAGAGTAAATAGAGTAAAAGGAAAAACATGTTTGCATTAATATAAAGATTATGTTAACAAGCATTAATAAAAAATTTATAGCACAACATTTCAAAGCAATGTTAACAATCATAGAATTAAATTAAATGATATACTATATATAATATAAAATAAGCTTACTCCTTCTTTCTCATTGTCCATTAATACCTTCTTCATTGCAACAAACTTCTTGTTTGTTTTTTTGTCTTTAGCCTTAAATACCTCTCTATGAAAAAAGAGAATACATATACACATAATACAAATTAGAAAATTTAAAGCAGATATTTATTCAGAATACTCTCCTCACACCTCAAATTCTGAAAAGTACGACTATGAATAATTGCGTTATTGAAAAAATACCTGGATCGGACAAATCGTGGAGAAATTATTCGTTAATCGGTCGTAACTTTACAACATCGCGTAATCTAAATGTAAGATTTTTGCTTACCCGAAAGTTCCTTGGCCAATTTTCGCAACTTTTTCGTACTTGGAAGATTCATCGCAATATGGAAAATCGAATTCCTCGATGTATTTTTCCTTTTCCTTCGTATTCATCGTAATCACATATATGTATGTACGTACTAACGTAAACACAAGATCCTTGCAATGGGCGAGTTTAAGACTAAATCAAATCACTAAATCAAGACGCCAAAACTATGGTGGAAGGAATTAAAGGGTGATTTTCATGGGGTGCATACATTTAAGATGTCTGTACATAACAGCGTCAAGCGTCGAGCGTTAGCATTGTCGTCAAAATAAGTCATGTGATGGATTTTCATGACGCTACGACGCTCATTTTCAGCATCAATTGACGAATATCAAGTCAATCAATTTTGATCACATGATCTATTTTGATGCTGAAAATGAGTGTCAAGTAAAAATTCAGCCATAGAGAGTAAATACGATGTTGCAAACGCTTTGAAGCGTTTTTTAATTGGTCAGTTTGTAAAATTCTTTCTTCTAGTTCAAACGCTTCAAAGCATTTAATAGCGAGACTTTGACTACAGCCAGAAATTGATGAATATTAAGAGCTCAATAAAAGGAACAGAGAACAGAGAACAGAGAATAAGAATTTCTATCAGAAATCATGTGTTATGAAATACACAGTTTCTGATAGGTTGCAATTCTTATTCTTTGTTCTCTGTTCTCTATTCCTTTTATTGTGCAGAGTTCCTTATTCTCTGTTCTTTGTTTCTTTTGTTGTGCGGATCCCCTTAGAACTGCAGAATGGCGTCATTGAAGCAACCAATCAGCGCTATTCCGCACTTTTCCATCATGCAAGTTTTATGTGCTATTCACATAATGCGTCAAAGATGTATCCAGGGTATCGATTAAATGTAAATTTTCATGAAATTTTCATTTTTTCACTTTTCGTACGTATCAATCTCATGTGAAAAGTTTCACTTTCAAATGATATCAGACTTAGTGATTATGTAAGAAAATTAGAGAAAGTAAAATCAGATGTAAGAAAGTTACGAGAAAGTGAGGTCATAAGGCGAATTTACATCGTTCCTCTTAAATTTACGAAAATTTAACAATTGTTTCACGGGTGT